AGTATTTTAAACTGTATAAAAAAAATTGAAATCAATTGTGAAAATCCATTCCTTATATAGGACGTTCCCTCCTGTTGATGTGTCTAAATGTCCAATTGTTTTGATATGTCTAAATTATTCTGACATGTCTAAATGTCTAATCATTTTGACATGTTTAAATAATTTAGATATTGATCGTTTTTGATTTTTTTCCCATAAATTTTCCCATGAAAAAAAAAAATGTAAATTATAACTCACCACGACACAAGTAACTGTATCTATTAACATCCTACCTATTCACACACTAGAATAAGCGAGTACAATCTACTATTAATTCTAATAACAATAAAATAATAATTTTTTGATAAAATAAGCATTAATAAAATTATAAACAATTGTTTAATAATAATAAGCAGTAGTAAAAATAATAATTGTTTAATAATAAGCAGTAGTAATTATAATAAGCAAGCAGTAGTAAAAATTATAATTGTCTAATAATAATAATAAACAGTAGTAATTATAAAAATAATAATTGTTTAATAATAATAAGCAGTAGTAATTATAAAAATAATAATCATTTAATAATAATAAGCAGTAGTAATTACAAAAATAATAATAAGTAGTAGCAATTACAAAATAATAATTGTTTAATAAATTGTTTAATAATAATAGCAGTATAATAATAGCAGTAGCAATTATAAATTAATATTAATAGTAATAGCAATAGCAATAATTATAGTTATACAAATATTAATAGCAGTGATAGTGGAAGCAGTAGTAATAGTAGTAACTGGGTTAATATTATTATAAAAAAACGTAATTGATAATGAATAGGAACTTGATTGATAATAATAGTATTGTTGTCAATGATGTAGATAATAGTGATGTTAATAGCAACTATAGTAGCAGTAGTATTAGCAGTAGTATGTATAATAACATCAACAATAATCTAAATATTAGTGATAATAAATCCATTGGAAGGCCTGGATCTTCTGTATGGAATCACTTTACAAAAGGCGAAGGAAAAAGTAAAGGAAAGCATACAGCTACATGTTTATTTTGTAATAAATATTATCCAAGAGGTACTCCAAATGAATTAGAGTCTCATTTAGTAACTACATGTATTCAAGTTCCTTCTTCACTAAAAGAACATTATTTAAGAGTTATATCAAACAAAGATTGTGATTCAAGTGATAAGAAAAGAAAAATAGAGTCAAATCAACGTAAATTAACACAATATCGTGATTCTTCTGTGCTAATTCCAGAAAGAAAAAAGAAAATTGATGCTGCATTACTTAGATTTTTTATCTGTTGTGGGGTACCATTTTCTATTGTGGAGAGCCCATTTTTTATTGAGCTTACAAAACAATTACATGCATCTTATGACCCTCCTACAAGAAAGACTTTGTCTAAACAAATGTTGAATTCTGAATTGGCAACAATTGTTGTAGCTGTAGAAAATGAACTTCGTAACTCAAAAGATTTGACGCTTGGACTTGATGGTTGGACTAATAAAAGAAATCAAGGAATTTACAATTTTGTAGTTATTACACCTGATAGAAAAGAATATATTGTTGATATTAAAGATCTTTCAAAAGAGCGACATACTGGTGAACTTTTGGCTGAAGAAATTAGATTAATCTTGACAAAATTTGGTCCTGAGAAGTTCTCGGCAATTGTCACCGATGGTGGTTCAGATGTAACAAAGGCTAGAAAAATCATCCATAATCAATACAAGCACATTTTTAGTATTCAGTGCATTGCTCACCATCTGAATTTAATGACTAAAGATTTGTGTAAACATTCATTTGCAAAAGATTTGATTTCCAAATGTCAGTCAATTGTTACATATTTTGGCAAATCTCCATTATCAACAAGTTTACTAGAAGAAAAAATTAAAAGATATAATGTTGTTGGGGGTGGATTAAAGACATCAACAAAGACAAGATGGAGCACAATTTGGGATTGTATAGATTCAGTTGCAAGACTTGGTAATATTCTCCTGGAGGTAAATTATGTTATTTTACATCATTCATATGATACAATATTTTCTTCTTATTCTAATATATTATATATTATTCATATTTAGTTAGCAAGTGAAAATAATAATATTTCTTCTTCAGTTAAAAATACTATCAATGAGTTTAGTTTTTTTAATCAAGTTAGATCTTTATCATTTGTTCTTAAACCATTAAAAGATGCTATCCAATACTTGGAATCTAAAAATACTACAATTGCTGACTGCTTTATTCAAATAGCAAGTTTAGCATCACAAATTAAACATTTATCAGCTACAGTAGATCCAAATTTTAAAAATTATTGCATTGACATTTTTAATAAGAGATGGGGACAATTTAATTCTAAACTTTTTATATTGGGATATTTTTTACATCCAAAATATAGGGGTAAATTTATTTTCCTTTTATTCTTATTAATAAAAATAAAATAAAAATTGGCTAATAATATTTAATCTTTTAGATAAATATTTAAATCATGATAAAATACGTGAATTGATGTTGTTTGCAATTGAATTGTGGGCAGATATGGGTCATGGAAAACAAACTTCAACAAGGCTTGTAAGTCAAATACATTTATATCGTGAAAAAAAACCACCCTATGACCTTCCATATGATAATGCAATTTCATCATATACATGGTGGAATTTACTATCAAAATCAGGTGGTTATTTACAAGAAGTAGCATTAAAATTATATGCAATTACACCTCATTCTGCAGGGTGCGAGCGTGTTTTTTCAATTTTATCATGGTTCTACAATCAACGAAGAAATAATCTAGATATCAATAGAGTTAAACATATGGCAATCATCCATAATTATTATATTTCAAATGAAAAAAAAGGGTTTGAGTATTTTGGGATGAATATTTTAGACGAAGAAATATATTCTAAGATTAGTGAAGCTGAAAAATTATTAGAAAATGAAGATAATGAAGAAATTGAGATTGGAAATGATGAAAATAATGAAGAAATCGAAGTTGATGATGTTGAAAGTAATGAAGATGCTGCAATTAACAACCAAACAAGATTATTAATTGAAGACTATATTAATATTGATATAAATTTATTTAATTCCGAGATTAATAGTAGTGTAAACCAATTTATTGATGAACAGGAAATAATTGATGATGATTTAGATTTTGATCCATCAAGCATACTTGATATTTGATATTAGTATTTGTTAATAAATAAATGAAATTTTGCAACATCTTAATATTTTGACATGTCTAAATAGTTTTGCCATGTCTTAATGTTTTGCCATGTCTAAACAGTTTTGCCATGTCTAAACAATTTTGCCATGTCTTAATGTTTTGCCATGTCTAAATAATTTTGCCATGTCTTAATGTTTTGACATGTCTAAATAATTTTGCCATGTCTTAATGTTTTGACATGTCTAAATAATTTTGCCATGTCTTAATGTTTTGACATGTCTAAATAATTTTGCCATTTAGACCATGTCTTAATATTTTGACAATCATGACTAAACCTATATTTAGACTTTAGACATTTTTGACAAGCCTGAAAACAATTAGACGCCCATCTATAGGGGCTACACAATATTCGATGATATCAAACTGGAGAACAGACCTAATATGCGGATATCAATTATAATAGGAGCTCACGAACTAATATTGACTGATACATATTTAAATGTAATCGACAAATAATGTTTTTAAAACTAGAGACCCATTCTATCAACTAATATATAATGAACTTTGTAAAATTCAATATTTTGTATAACAAACTGCCTTGGAAAATCATAATATAAATGGTGCCGAACTCTTAAAAGTATTAATTATTATTATAATTGCTTCTTTCTTTAAAATATAACGAAAACAAGGCTACAAATAATGTTTTTAAAACTAGAGACCCATTCTATCAACTAATATATAATGAACTTTGTAAAATTCAATATTTTGTATAACAAACTGCCTTGGAAAATCATAATATAAATGGTGCCGAACTCTTAAAAGTATTAATTATTATTATAATTGCTTCTTTCTTTAAAATATAACGAAAACAAGGCTAGTTTCTTTCTTTGACAAATTATAATTAATGAAAATACAAATTGTTTGTTAATATCTTTTTTAAACATACAGCCAAGGTGTGGTTCTTGTCACAAATGAAACTGTTGGAGGAAGACTTTTATTTTGCCCAATACAAACCATAATGAAATAACAAGTGCAGAATCTTTTTTAAACAACTTCAAGAAGAAGATATGAATAATACACAAATTTAATTAATAATTTAAATTATTTAATCGCATTTGAATTTATTAGTATTTATGAAATAGAAATATCAACAGAAGAAGCACGGCGATTCCTCCACTTCCACCTGTATCACATAAAAACTCCTTGTTGACAATGGAAAAATCAATTTATATTTTGGACAACAACCAGACAAATCACAATTATCAGATAATTAATTGATATTGATAAAAAAAATTCAATATATTGAATTTAATCCATAAGTAGAGCTTTTCCTATATATTGATAATAATAATACGTATAGGATAACCATTTGGAAAATTTAAGACACGGATATTAATATCCTATCAGCTATTAAATAGTAATAGGATAACGGATAACGGATAACTCGAATAATAATAACAATAGATAAATAATCCGAATTATCCTAGATTCACTAATTATTCATAAACAAGATTTTAAATTTAAAACTTTCATAAAAAATAGTTTATGATATTACCATTTGGATCTGATGTACAGTTTTCGCCGTTATTTTGAATCTGATGGGTGTCTTTTTCGTTTACCTCAATGATATATTCAACTGCGAAGCTTTACTTTTGACTTGAAGATTTAATGAATCAGATTTTTCTTTATTATCAAGAAGTTTATCAAGCACGTTTTTTGTATGCTCCAATGCCATCGCCAGTATCGTCAAAAATAGGTGGTGTAGGCTTTTCTATCATCATATTCAGACCATGCATGTTTTTTTGAAGCTCTTTCAGTTGACATATTTGGAAATGGTATGCTTTAAGTTTTGCAAGTGATTTCTTTGTTTCCTAAGCTGGTTCTTTTGAATGTGTCATTTATGTTTTATCCAATACAATATAATCTTATTACAACGAAGTGGCTGGACATTAATATTTTTTGACGAAATGTTGCCAAAGTTGTAAAACTATTACGTCAAATTCGCTGCCATTAAGTCAAAAATAACTCAAGTAAAATTGCTTTAAAGGCTAATAAAATATAAAAGCTCGTAAAAAAAACTTATACAGTAAATATATATTCCAAGAGCAAAGGTTGCTCGACAGCGATGCCTTCGAAGTTGGTTTCGATTTTGTCGATAAAAGCAGTGTAAGCTTTGCAGGTCTTTTTTTTAATATTTTTTTCGTGTACCCAATCTCTCACAAGGAGCTAAGGTTTTGCTGAATACAAATACATTCATTTACTACTAACTCGAACATTTTTTATATTAATATTAATAACGTGATACATGATTCGGTACCTCATGTTCCAAGGTAAACTAACTTAGTGTATCAAATGAAATTTACGCAAAAGCCTTTTGTAATTATTACTGTGTAAATAATTATAGAAGTCTTTACAATGTCAATATTGATTGATTAAGTTACTTTGCATCGTTGTTTTTATCCTTATTGTAATGATCAATGAAACTTTCATCGAGGATAACTTTTGATCTTCGCTTGAAAAAGCATAAAAGCATAAATTCGGGACCTCTTAGAAGATAATTAACATTCTAATAAAATAATACTCTGATAGAATCATTATTTTCATTAAACAAAATCAATCGTTAATAAACTTCTAAAAATAAAAAATAAAAACAAAAACATTGTCTTTATTTTCTTTGTTTAAAGCATTTTGATAAAAGCAACAAGTGTAGTTAATGCCTTGGTAAAAGGTAACAATTGTAGAGCTTTAGTAAAAAATCGTGTTTATTTGCTTTAGTGAGTAAGCAAAGGTTAGGACTAACGTTGATTAACTAGCGAGTACTAACAGCGATTAGTAACGTAATTTGCTTTATTGGGTAAGCAAAGGTTTGAACTAATGTTGGTTAACTAGTGGGTGTTAATGAAGTAGTATCATTGTAGTCGTAAATTTAAGGCTGTTAAACAAACTACTTAAGTTGTTTTGTAAGTAGAGTTTGAAATCGGTTAATAAATGTAAACAAGGGCAAACAACTGAAACAGATCGATCATAAGTGAATAAAAGGAACCTTATAGCATTGCAAAAGGGCCATCTTTATTTATTTACAGTTATCTGGTACCATTAAGTGTGTTCCAAAGTGATACCTTGCAATATCACCATTTAACAAGAATCAAAAATTGTAAAAAGTTTATTATATTGTTACAAGATAAGAAATAAAATACAGATGAAATAAAATTATAATAATAAATTTATAATGGAGATTAAATTAGTCATTCATCGCATCTTTATTTTACTATTGTTACTAGAATCTAATGTTTATTAATTAATATCGTTAATAGTAATTAGTGGTTAATAATTTCCAATTGATTAATAAAATTTTATTTACCTTTAACATTTTAGAGAAAAGAGTCAAAATCAAGATTATTCAACGAACTATCATTACTTGTATAAATCTTCAAACTTTTAGATTTAGCAATCTCTTCATCTAATATTCTACTTGTATGATATGCATCTGAATGTGATTTGTGTGCTTGTTGCAAAGTACTACTGCTACTGCTACTAGTAGTATTATTATTGTTACTATTTTCATGTTTTTTGATTTTAGAAAATTTGAATAATCTTTTTATTAAACTATTATTACTATTATTATTTTTCAAATTCTCATTTTTAACAATTTCGTTACGTTTATTATAAGCAAATGTCCGAAGCTCTCTACTAATTGGTCTTTTTGATGGATCCACATCCCAACACCTCTGCATCATTTGCACATAATCGTCAGGCATACCAGGTAGTATTGGTGGTCGTAAACCTTCACATATAACAAAAATCAAACGATGATTGTGAGCTCTATCATCAAATGGTGGATGTCCTGCAAATATTTCCCACATTAACATCCCAATACTATAGATATCTGACTCTTTGGTGTTCTTTGTATCAATTTTGCCTCTAAGTAGTTCGGGTGCAGCATATGATACAATCCCATAGACTTTATTTGATGATTCGCCATCAACTGGTCCACATAATCCTAATCTGTAATAAAACAGCCACCTCCTTGCATAAGTATATTACCACTATGTAAATCACAATGGATTAAATCTTTTTCATGTATACCATCTAATGCCCAACATAAATAATCAAAGATTGAAATTCTGTCTTTTAATGTTAAATTTAAATGATTTTTTTCTAAATAATCCCTTAAATTTCCATCTGATAAATAATTTAAAACGATTGCATAATTTCCATTATCTGGGAATTTAGTTATACCTAAGCACTGAACAATCAACACCGATTTGATTTTGGAATAATTCATTGCCTGTAATTAAATATAAAACCAATTAGTATTATATGATACAGTATTGTTTATTTTTTAAATGACAACTACCAACCTCATTAAAAAATGCTTTTCCTGGATTACTCGATTCATTTAAACTTTTTAATACTACTCTCTGCCCATTACCTCCAAAATAACTAAATTCCTTTTTGTTTTCGTCATAATTAACAATAGTTCCTCTTGACCATTTAGCAGTATAAATTGAACTAAATCCACCTTCTGTCAACTTTGTTATATCATAAAATTGCTCAAAAGGTATCCATTCTAAAATATGGTCTGGCAGAGATGATTCATTTGACATTGTTGAATAAAATCATCAATTATGTTATTTCCAGATGCCCAAGTGGTGAAAAGACTCTGTAATTGTAATCTAATACAACCTTCACAGAACCTATCAGAGTATCTTGTCAATTTACACTTGTTACATTCTTTTGGTTTTCCCAATTTATATGTTGCATTATCTAATTCAAAATCATAATAAATCTTTCCTTACAATATTCTTTTTCATTTTCGGAAAGCTCCCTTTTTTTTTTGACTAATGAAAAAAAATAATCTTTTCTACTTTCTCTATCACAATTAGCACTAGCATTATTACGCATTTCACCATTAATTTTATATACAAATTTCTTTCTTTCTGGTAATAGTATAAAAGAAAGGTTCATGTATTACGGTTTCTTTCTAAATCTCGTAATTTTTGTGTAGATTTTTATATTTTGTGTAATAGTAATATAACCTAACAATATGAGATGTAATGAAGACTCGTTGAGACTTGAAATGATAAATTCAGTGCAATTACGGCAACGAATCATGAATCTTCTAAGCATTTTGTTGCTCAAATTTAGTAAACTGAATTGTTGGGAAAAGATGAAACCAAAATCAAAGGAGTTTTTTTCTACGCTGATTTGGAATTAAATTTGTTAAAATTGAAATTTGAAAATATTTTCGTTTTCCAGAAATGATAAATAGTTGTGATTATTTTTATATCACAATATCATGCGAATTCCCATTTATATCTTATTTGGATTTATCTATTTTTGTTCAAAATGTCAGGGTTGAGAAAAGCAAATACTTGACTGAAAAGAAATCGTTCTTTTAGAATGTTTTTTGCATGGCGTCTACCGCTGTCTACCATTAGGTCTTCGTATTGCTCTGACGTTTTGGACCAAATGAAATGACCAAAAACCTGTGGAACCTTTACCTCAGATCCCAGATCGTCAAATACTTGTCGTGTTAGCGTTAGTATATTTTCGAGTCCGGGATTCAAAATAAATATTTCGTTGTTATTGTTATTATTGGTCAATTTCAATTCAATGGTAGATAAACAAACATTATGTACAAATTTTTTTTGATTTTGACCATTGGGAGATAGCGGATAGGTAAGGTTTCTAATTTTTAATTTCCTTTCGAAGAAAACAAATAAAATACATTGATTAATCTTTGCAAAGGGGGGTTTTTTTTAACAAACGAAATTTGTAAATAGCTTTTGATGTTTGCATGAAGTTTATTCTCCTATAGCAATAGACTTGGAGAAAAAATACAATTGATCCAATTGACCTTTAATCCGGGATAAATAAATAAACACGAGGAAAATATCAGGACAAAAAGATCTCTTTTTTTAATTAGGAAAAAAAAGCTTATTTAACAATCGAAATTCGTAAAAAGTTTCGTCATACATAATTACTGGACACATAAGAAAATTTCGTTTAAGATTCGTTGAAATGCGAATTGAATTATAATTGAAACTAGATTCATCGGAACAAGGTTTCACTGTATGTATGTTTGATATTCTGAATAATTCATTACCTTTTTGGAAAAGATGTTTCTTATTTTTGTACCTATGGTCTTCCTAGTTAGAGGAGGACAAATTATCTTCGACATTTGGGTTAGCATTTACAAATTGAAGCTGACTATCATCCGACATTTTAATGGAGGATCTTAAATGAACAAATAAATATAAATTTAAGAGCGCATATATAAGTTTTTTATTATTTTTATTTTCTCCGTACATTTTTTCACTTTTCGTCAGATTTTCCATTACTATTACTATTTCGTCAATTTCGCCAAATGTGACAAAATTATTTCCTGTTCACAAAACATTTCGTCGGGCATCATTATTTGCTTCGAATCTTAAAACTTTCGACTATAATCAAAATCCAAAATCGAAAAAAATCAAATATAGCTCAAATTTTATTGAATAAATGTAAATGGTACCATATCACCCTTTTTGAATCTGGAAAATAAGGAAAATAAAGATTCCGAGTTGTAGCAATATTATTATTTGTCATAATAATAATATTTCTTTGAATAATAATATTACCCGAAAATGTTGACATCTCTTATTGACATTATCTTATTTATTTATTTCGTTACGACGTGCGTGTTATTTAATTTGTATTGGTCGACAAAGCCGACAAGGTACAATAGTAGACTTAGTCGAGGAAGTGGTCCTATAATGAAACATCGTGTATATAAACAACTCGAATTCCATGTACCTTAATATTTCTTGGATAAAGAAAATAATAAGTTTCAAAAACTATTCGTTAGTAATCCTCATAACATTATTTTTATTAAGATCACTCTCCCAATAATTAATCAGTGACATGATAAAAAAAAAGTTTGTTTTTGAAATCTACTACACGAAGTCCAGTTAAAGAAAGACCTGTCCCGAAACTTGAAACTAAGGAACTATACTAAACCTGTCTTCACTTTTTTTGTAGAGTTTCTTTGTACATCAGTTTTATCCTTTCGTCAAATTCATTAAATTCTCTTTAGATGCAATTTTTTGTTTCTCCTTCAAGCCATCATGTTGCTGTTTAAGGATGTATAGAATTAAGCGTACAACGAAGATGATTAAATATACGACAAGAGAAAATAATTATCCAATTGCATTTCTTGGATAATTACCAAGAAACCATTTGATGTCATTGTAAGAAGCGTATCATGTGTTGTAGTGAGCCGTGTAAACTTGGAATTAAAAGGGTGGAGTATTTGTATACAAAAATTTGATTGAATTTCACACGTGTGTGAATTTAAAGATAAATCTTGACTGCAAATTTTTAAAAATAGACGTTTTCTTTTTAGTAAAGATTCCGTGAATATCACAATATTTAGATATCAATCACATAATAATGATAAATAAATGATATTTGGATATTATCCGAATAATCCTGAATGAATACAAAAGCTACACACAATAGCATTTTAAGCTCAAAACATTACTGATGATACAAAGCTATGCAAAATTGAAGGATCAAATAAATTTATTTACTATAAAAAAAATTACCATTGAAGTTCTATGATTGTTCATACATTTTTAAGTTCCTTTTTGTAGTTTCATGTGACTTTGCATAATAAAAAAAATTTTGTATCAGTCAAGTACCCAAAAATTTTTGATAGTCATTTTGATATATGTTATACATTATTTTATATGGTTAGTTTTTAAAAATTCATATTCAGCGTGTATCATGTGATTTATTATAATCCGTTAACTAACTATTAATATTAATACTACTATTATGGATATCTCGGGTCGGATAAAATTTTCCAGATAAAATTTCCCGTTAAATAGAAATTCACTGCGTTAGTGTGTATATACGTAGAATTTAAAGATGTCTTGACATTTAACGACAGGTGTACAGTGAACCCAATACTAATATATACTACTAATACAATTATCATAAAAATTGCACGGAGTCTCCTTAAATGGTTACACTTTTGCTTATCATTATATCATTAAATCTTTAGCAAACCAAATTTGGGTAAAACAGCATTATTACCATCTTTCATCTTTTTTCAACCGATTTTGTATATATATAAAATAAATCCATCTCAAATATTCCACACAAATTTTTTTTTTGCTCCCTTTAACTAAAAAATTTTTATCCATTTTTAACGTGACAAAATTCAACGAAAATGACTGTGTAAGTAGTATTTGATAATAATGATTGATTAATATTATAATAATAATATTTATCAACTTATTTCATACCATTTATTTATTTTAATGAATTAATTATTTAATTAATGATAGAGGTGACTTTGGCCTTATTGGTCTTGCTGTTATGGTAAAATATCGATAATTTTTTAATAAAAATATTATTCAAGTTATCATATCATGTCTTCATTAAATTAATTCTCGCCGGGGGTTTATAAGGGTCAAAACCTTATTCTTAACATAGCCGACCACGGATTCACAGTCGTTGCATATAACAGAACTGTTGCAAAAGTAGATCATTTCTTAGCAAATGAAGCTAAAGGTATCCTATCCATCCATCATTAATTATATAATTTATCATTATCATTAACTATTAATGAATTAATCAATCTATTATTATTATCTTAGGAAAAAGTATTATCGGTGCTAGTTCCATTCAAGATCTTGCCCAAAAATTAAAAAAGCCACGAAAAGTCATGCTTTTGGTTAAAGCTGGTCAAGCTGTTGACGATTTTATTGATCAATTACTTCCTTATCTTGACAAAGATGATATTATTATTGATGGTGGTAATTCGCATTATCCAGACACTATTCGTAGATGTAAATACTTGGAAGAAAAAGGTTTATTGTTTGTTGGTTGCGGTGTATCTGGCGGTGAGGATGGTGCTCGTTATGGTCCATCTCTTATGCCTGGAGGTTCTAAAGCTGCATGGTAATGATTTTTATTTATTTATTTATTATAATTTTTTTTTTTTTTTTTGCTTTCTAAAAATAAAATTCATTTTTCTTATTTCTAAAATTAGGAAACATTTACAACCAATATTTCAATCTATAGCAGCCAAGGCTGATAACGAACCATGTTGTGATTGGGTTGGTGAATCTGGTGCAGGTCATTATGTTAAAATGGTTCATAATGGTATCGAGTATGGTGATATGCAACTTATTTGTGAAGCATATCATTTGATGAAGGAAGGAGTTGGTCTCACAAATGATCAAATTGGTGATGTGTTTGAAGAGTGGAATAAGGGTGAATTAGATTCATTTTTGATTGAAATCACTAGAGATATCGTGAGATATAAAGACACTGATGGTACTCCCCTAGTAGAAAAAATTAGGGATACTGCAGGCCAAGTATGGAATCTCTTCATTCATACATTTGCACGCATATATATATACTTTTAATATATAATTAACTTTTTTGGAAAATTATACAGAAAGGTACTGGCAAATGGACAGCAATAAATGCGCTCGATCTTGGAATGCCACTTACACTTATAGGCGAAGCTGTATTTGCTCGTGCACTTTCAGCTTTGAAGAGTGAACGTGTACGTGCAAGTAAAATTTTAAAAGGTCCTGAACGTGTGGCTTTCACTGGTGATAAAAAAGACTTCATTAAACAAATAGGCCAAGCTTTATATGCTTCCAAATTGATTTCATATGCTCAAGGCTTTATGCTTATGCGTGAAGCTGCTAAAGAATACAAGTGGGATTTAAATTATGCTGGTATTGCTTTGATGTGGCGTGGTGGTTGCATTATTCGTAGGTTAGTCATTAAAAAAAATCTTCATAAATAGTTTATTTGACATAGATATATATATATCTTGATAAGAAAAAGATTTATGTTAAATCTTTTTGATTTTTTTTTTTTTTTTTTTATAGTGCTTTCTTAGGTGATATTAAAAATGCATATACCAATAATCCAAATCTTGAAAATCTTCTTTTCGATCCATTCTTTAGGGATGCTATTGAAAAAGCACAACATTCATGGCGTAAAGTAATTTCAGAAACAGTTCTACTTGGTATTCCTACTCCCGCATTTGCATCAGCACTTTCATTTTATGATGGTTATAGACATGAAAAACTGCCTGCTGGTCTTCTTCAAGGAATGCGCGATTATTTCGGGTTTGTAATATGTCCATTTATTTATTTTTTTTTTTTTTTTGTTTAAAATAAATTTTATTTCAATAATTAAACAAATGATTTTTTTTGGGGGTGGGGATTCGGTTAACTAGTGCTCATACATTCAGATATCTTGATGAATATACCGATGAAAATCATCCTAAAGATCAAGATGTTCATGTTAATTGGACTGGTCATGGTGGAGCTGTTAGCGCTTCCTCTTATCTTGCCTAATAGTAATAATTATTATTATCTCTATAATTCTTTTGTGTAATTTTATTTATTTATATATTTATATATTTATATATTTTATCATGTATATCACTGTATAGCAAATTCTTTTTTTTAAAAAAAAAATGTTAAATATTAAATCAATGCTATTTTATTTATTTTTAAATTGTAACAAGGGATTATTAAAAAAAAATAAAAGATATACACGCATAAAACATGAATAACAATATGTCCTACCTATTGTTGCAATAACTTACTATTGACTTTTTTAAATTGCGTAATGAATAAGGATTATCATATAGATAAAGAATAAAAGATATACATACATAGGACATGAATAATATGTCCTATTGTTGCAGAAAAAGAAGACTTTACTATTTATTAACAGAGTATACATAGAATGATCTTTCTGTTTATTTTATAAATAAATTATCAAAATAAATATAAATAGTAATATAATTATTAGCAAATTACATTTAAATAATTTACAAACTTTTTAATTTCAAAAAATTGTTATTTTGATACATTTTTAATAAAAATATTGTGACAGGATCTATATCTTTAGGTAATATGATCGTAAGAGGCTTGTATCCTTCCCACTTCTCAACCAGATTGCTTAAAGTTTTAACATCCATAATACGAAAAATATGTTCAAAAATTAAAATTTTTAAATTTTTGGGTTGTGTTTGATTTAATACTGTTAAGATTTTATCGCCATCAATTACATAATGCGGAGGAGAAGATTTTCTAAATCTAATTGATTTTAATTTAATACAATTGTTAAATAATCCAATTAACGATTGATCCAACTGATTTCTGTAAAGTATCGATAAATCTTGTAGGTTTTCGCAATTTTGCCCAATTGATTGAACGAGTTTACTCCAATATTCAAGATCATAAATTTGATTACTACCAATATCTATAACCTTAAGAGACTTTCCATTGGTTTCCAAGAATATTTCAATGCATAATACGAATGGCGGCAGTTCGGTGAATAATATAAATTCTTCGATACTTGGAAATGTAATGATGTTGATTTTTTCAAAATCAGTATCGCGTTGACACAATAAAATTAAAACCTTCAAGTTTCGAAAGCTTGGTGTTATTACAGAATCCAAATTACTTTTTAAATTGCTTGAATATTCAATTATTGACTGTGAATGTGCCAATATTGCTTCTTTGTAATCGTCTGATAAAATGACATCATCTTTTGGATGAATAGCTAACTGGTTGATTTGATTCTGTGCTTTGATTAGTTGAACTAGATTATTATTTATGTATCGATAACAACGATTTCCTTTGATTCTTATCGATTTGATATCTTTACAAGTATTTGTTAACATATCAAGTAATTTAGCATTCGTATAAAAATCACACTCCAGTTCACGAAGACTTTGAAAACAATTATCAAACTTGGGATGATTGATAATCAACTGAACATTATGTTCTGGTTCATTAGTTTCAGAGACTCTAAATTTTTGAATACCTGGTGAATGATCTAAAATAAAATTTAACAACCTTTCCTTTAAAAAAGAAATTTTAGACTCGTATTCTTGTATCAAATCGTAGAATCGACCAACAATTATTATAAAATCAATTGTGGTCACAAAGTTAGCGTAATTATATAAAGGTTGGTATTCCAACAGTTCAAAAGTTAATTTGATATCATACTCTTTTAAGAAATTCCCATCTTCTGCCAATATACAATTAATTAATATTTTCATTGCGTCTTCAGAATAGAATGGATCTCTCCATAAAATTCGAATATTAATATCGCACCATTTTTTGTTGACTAGAATGCAAGAATACAATGTTCCATAATCATCTTTATTTAGTTTAAATATTTTATTTAAAATTTCCGTTGGATAGTCCATTTGAGTCTATTTATGAAAAGGAAGGACACCCAAATTTATTGACCCCAATTATCCTATACATTATTATCACGTGAATTACAAATAGCATAACTAAAAAAAATCATAATATTAATAATAAATATTAATAATGTTAATGTTTAATTATCGTTAATATGGGAAAGCACCAAAATATGGCGTGAAGACAAAGAAAAAAAAGGAAAGATGATCGACGAATAAAGGAAAAAAGAGAGTACTTAATCAATATGTTTTATTAGATTAAACTCTTATACAGCTTTTTTTTTTTTTTTTTTGCCTATTGTCTTCTTCAATAAATAAAGTGATAAATAAGTAAATTATTCTCTGATCGTTTTTGACAGGAAGTAAAATGGTTTAATCCTAAATGAGAAAACTTGTAATATTTATCCAATCAATAATAATGATGATTAGATTCTTTATTCACTTGTAAATATTTTGAACAAGAATACTTGGAATTGCATCTTGGCTCTTTTTTTTATTTACAACATTGTTAGAATAAATTATATTTCGTGAAGCTGGCGTGAATTTTAAAAAAATTTGGATGCTTAATTTTCCTCTCTTAAAATTACAAGTAATGGGTGATACTGATGCTGTTACTACACCAAAAAGATATATTGTTGTTTTATTACTATTATTATTACAGTTCATTCATTGTTGATATATTTTATTTGGAAATGTTGTGTGTGTCAAAATCGATTTTTTAAATTGACATGTGTGAAGTTCAAATTAGCCAATCGGAACTTCACATCAAAGCACCTCACCCCAAAAATTTTAACAAAGATATACATGGTAATAGTAACATAATAGCCAGGATTACATTTCAGATTACCTCCCCTCACGTTATCCATTCCCAATTAAGAAAAGGTTCATTACATATTTTCTCATTTTTTTCTCAATAATAAACGTAGATTTGGCAAATAAGAGAGAGAACTCGATAATAAATCTGTGAATTTATTCATTCTGATCTACAATATGTAAGTCACGTGGAGGTAAAATACAAATATTTTGTTGATAGTTTCCTATAAAATACATTATTTTCTTAATTTCTTTTTACCTAAAATATAATTATTATTTTATTTATTTATTTTTGCAATTAATATTGTGATAAGAATGGTTATGACTCATAAATTAAAAAAAAAAGCGGGAAATTTTAAATTTTTTGATGACGCGTCATAAAAAAAATGAATGGCCTTTAAAGAAAAATCCATAACGTCCGTCATGATAATTAGCACAATAATAATCAATTATTAATTATAATAAACACACCACTACTATCCCTCTCTAATTCTGTTAATTTCAAATCAAAAAATATCAAACTAACCATATCAAATTTATAATTTAGTCACATGATCAAAAACAAAAAAAAATTTAGCTATTGATGAAGTCATCGTATCATTGTGCAAATTATCAGTCTATCAATTTAGTTTAAAAATTGGGTTTTTTTTTTATGAGAGAACCATCATCAACATTACCATATTTATTATTTCATGTTTTATTGTTTATTTTTTATATATATTTTATTATTGAAAAAAAAAAATTTTTTTACGCCAAAATTTTTATAAAAAGGTGGAGAAAAAAAAATTTTTATCATGATTTTTTATTTTAAAAAAAAATTTTTTTAATCTATCTTTTTAGCAAAAAAAAATTATTTTTTCATCAGAACAAATAATCTTTTTTTTTATCACAACAAAAAAACAAACCACTTATTATTTTATTATTTTTTTCATAACAACAACCAACAAACAAAAAAAATACTCTTATTTATTTTTTCTTCGTTCGTAAACCTTCATCTATATATATCTTTAAAAAAACAAAAACAGACAACTTGACAACAATAACAAAATGAGTCCTTTTACCAATACTACTAACACAACAA